CATAATTTCTCTTGCCTCAGAGATGGTGGAAAATAATTATATTTCATCTGTAAGTCTGATTATTTAAACCTTCCCACTGCCTTTGTTTTGTCAGGGCCACCACGACCAGTAATATAAAAAATAAAATTTGGGCAAGAGTTTTTTTCCTTAGAAACAGGAAAAAATACCAAACTTCTGAGAGTTTTGGTGTTTTTTTTTAATTGGTAGGCTTTGTATTTTCAGCTATTTTATGCCAATATTTAATAGAAATATATTTCTATAAAGTAAAAGAAATTGCTTTTAATGGTAGTAGAAGATTTTTTATTATTATGATTGTTTTTAATGTTTATGTCTGAATTTTATAGTTTCTCATTAAACATCCAACATGGCTGCATCCTGATTGGGAAGAAAAATATACTTAAACTCCCATGGGTTTCCTTTTTTAAGTTGCCTACTAACCTGTAATGTTTTCAATACATTGGAAAACACTGCTTTAACAGGAGCAGACTCTTATCTCTTGAGTTATTTGTATATAATCCATTTTATTAGATCTACTGCATCATTAATTCTGTTCTGGTTGTTCCTAAACCGTGTTTGCATGTTTCTTTTCATAGTATCTTTACTAGTTAGTGATTTGAAGCTAGTTATGCGATACTTTAAATTTCAAGTTTAGTTACCTTGTAAAAGAAAATCCATTTTACATGATTTGAGATTAGAATGTAAATATGGTGCTACCAATTGATTGACAGAAGGTGAACATTGCTGCTGCTGACCAATTTGGGTATAATGTTTAATACAGCAAGAGTAGATCATATACTAAGTTGGTGTCACTGTTATCCATTGTATAAGTATGGGCATAAAATCCAGGATGAGAATGGAAAGATATAGATCCATAAATCCAGTTATTAGCAAGAGAAGGTTGTCGATAAATCTACTGATAAAGGTAGCTCCGACCCAATTTGATTTATCTTAGAAATTACTGCTTAAAAATTGTGTTATTGGAAATAGTTACCTAATAGAGATATGTCATCCACTCCTCTCTCACTTGCTCGGCTTATTTACAAGGAGATAGCCTTAGCTAGAGAGATTTGTGGTTCCAGTACTAACAAGTGTTGCCAACAGTGGTGTCTTGTATTACTTCACTGATAACACCACTTTAAGGGTTGTTAGGAAATATGCTTGTCTTCTTCTCACACTCTTATTTTTGTCACCTCACCAAATTTCTCTGCCTTTGTTCTGTTGCATCTCTTCCTAATGATCAAACTTGTGGCTTCTCAAGAATTTTAGGCAATAAATTGTAACATCTGAAGTTCAGATAAAAGAATTGAGAAAACCAGTTTAAAGTTAAAACTTCAGCATTGTTATGGAGAAATGTTTATCAACTTTATGTATTCTCAGTCTGTAAAGGAACTCTGAAATTATTGGTTCTGAATTGGGCTACCTGTTACTTGTAGAACAGCCATTAATGTTTTTACAAATATTTTGAATACTTTGCCTCTAGTTTTGTATTTTTTTTCTGAGAAAATTCTCAAAATTCACTTTGTGTAGTCTAGATTTGTAGTTTGGCCGTTTGAGTATTAGTAGGATGCAGACATTCTAAGCAAGCAGAGTGCTTACCTTCTTCCAGAGTCAGGAGCTCCGTGCCATAGAAGATACTATTTACTAAACCTTTTAATAACATTTTGTGGTTAGTCTTTCTGAATAAAACTAGAAGGATTACTGTTGCAGCTCTCGTAAAGACATTTGTAATATTATGTTCTACACAGGCATAGTACTATAATTACTCATATGTATGAAACATATTAAATGGAGGACACAGTATTTCTTGCCTACTGTTCGCATTGCGGGGTAGTAGGTAGCATAAAGCAATTGGTTTTGAGACTATAATTGAAAGATCTGCTTAATTTGTCTTTGATTTCGTCAAATCTTCCGATTTAGTAACGTTGAGATTGTTTTCCATGGTTGTTTACAGGTCAATAATGACCGACTTGTACTACCTCAGTCAAACAGATGGAGCAGGAGATTGGCGAGAAAAAGAGGCCAAAGATCTAACAGATTTGGTACAGAGGAGAATAACTTACCTACAGGTAAGAGGATGGAGCTTTTAAATCAAGGTAAACATTTATTTTATTAAAATAAATACTCAGCTATACTTGTAATAGACTAATTACATGACAGGTTTAAGTGCGTGTTTATATCTGAATGAATTACATACAAAAGAAATTAGAACGTTTGGATTCTTTGTTTTATTATACAAGATAAGTCTCTGGTTTCTATTTTTTCTTCTTTAGAGTGTTAGAATGCATACATATGTTTGCACAGTGTTAAGAATAGAAAAATGGAAGTCCTTGCTATGAAACGTCTGAAAAAGCAGCCTATTCTAAAAAATATGAGTATGCAAAACTGACCTGCTTTTACAGTATATCGTCCAGTCCTAACCTGTTTCAACATGTGTGATACTTCTCATAGATGCTCATATTTGTGAATGCATAAAGCCTTTTTAATGTGTATGCTTGTGTCTGCCTATAAAATTTAAACAAAACTTGATCAAAAAGATAGTTGATATAGCCTGTTTTATTTGTACTTGGTTTGGTTTTCCTTGCATGTGTGTACCTCACTGCTCTGTTTTGTATGGTCAGCCTGAATGTCTGATCTTTTCTTTGTGTGAATAGTCAAATTTGTTTGTCAGATTTTCATTATTTCACATTTCACAGTTCAGCTACTGGAACCTTCTCTTCTATGACCAAACTATGTATTTATTGCTTATTAAATAAAAATCAGACACCCTTCTATAGAAAAAAAACTCCCAGTAAATTAGGTGGGAGACATCACTTTACTGGCTTCCTTCAAGTGCTTCTTGAGACCTGTTCCTCATTCTTTCCTTTTCCATGTCACTGTTTGGCAATGGTGTACTGTAACTAATTTTCATACTGATAAATATGGCTGTTTTCTACCTTTTCCTCTTCTTTCTCTGTATCCATTTGTGCATGTATATGTTTCTGGAGAGTGATTGTCTTCCTGTTGTATGTTTTACAGTGTTCAGGGCCTTAGTTCAACACTAGGACCTCCAAGTACTTACAATGAGTAACAAAAGTCAGCACTGATTGCAGAAATTAAAACATATAAAAGTATTAATAATGCACATCAAATTCAATATGACTGTTTCACATGGAAGGATCTAGAAACTATACAGAAGGGATATGTGTTTCCTTAGTAATGGCCTTTGAGCTCTAAGTTGAAGAATGGTGATAAGTATTTTCCAAAAAGGTGTAATGCTAGCTTCGATAAATGTTCATATTTTTAGCATTATAACTGTGCAAGCCACCAAAAATAGCACTGAATTCTTCAGTTTAGCAAATTTCCAACAATATATAAAGAATTATTTGGGTATTATATGAACAAATAATATTACCCTCTTTATTCTGTATGTCTTCAGTTAGTTGAAACATTTTAGCTGTATTGGATGCTCAGTTTTTGTTCTGCTAAAATGTGAAATAGAAATATGTGATGAGTCTTTTCTCACTAAACTATTCTTTCTTTCTTATGCTTACTGTATTTCTTTTTATTAATCTCTTTTCAAGCTAAACCTACCTAAAATTTTCAATCATTGTTCATGTGTGAGAATTTATAATACTTTCATTTCTTTCTTCCTATTGTCTTCACTTGACACTAATTCCTCACCAGGCCATTAGAACTGAACATCCACTAGCAGACAAATGACAATAGACTATGGATTTATAGAGCAGTACCAAAATATGTTGTTTTTCTTATCTTGCCTTTTATGCAGTCTAAGGTATTACTTTGGTATTAACAGGGCTGCCTTGAGGTCATGTCACTATGGAACTATTGGAAATGATGCCCAAGAGTTTTACTTCAGCTGAATTTTGAAACTTGAATATTTTTTCTTCTACTATGCTTACTTGAAATTTAGTTAATACAAAATTTCACTTATCAGGAGTCATGCTTACTTTGGTTAGGTTCTTCTGGAATTCATGACAAGTCAAGTCATGAATTCCAAGTCAAATCTCTCTACTTGACTAATTTAAAACTTTTTAGACATTTAATTTAATGGGTTTGCCTTTTACCAGTTCTTCCATATTTCACACATGAAAGTACTAGTCCTGCTGAGATAACTAGAGGCCATTTCTCTGTGTATTTGCCATTTCTTGCTCCTTTTTATAATCTGTTTTGATTTTTGACTGCACTTTGTTGCTTACTCCATGACTGCTTTGGTTTATTCTTTCTCATAAGTAGTTACAGTCTTTGAGATGGGCCATTCACATATACAGTTGCTACCATCATATTTATTCCCATCTTTCTGTCTGGAAAAAAACGAGGATCCTATCTCTTGCCTACATGCCTGTAAACCAGACATAAGCTTTTGGAGCTCAGGCTGTTGCAAGTAATCATCCAAAACTGGAATATGTCTGTTACTACACATTTGGAAGTCAGGTTGACTTATTTTATAGTGTGAGTTTCAGGATATTGAAGAGTACAGGGCTGACTGTGTGTATGCCATGTAAAGCAGTCCATGTCTGAAATTACATATATACACCACTATTCATAATATAAGTGTGTTAAAAACTAAAATAAAAAATTCAACAACCTTCCCCCCAACTCCATGCAAAAATGTGAAGAATAGAAGTACTGAATAGTTTTCTTTCTGGTACATGTTGAACAGTGACAGCTGCATTATTTTGGGACATCTCCCTGGGAAATCATTTAGCTGAATGATTGTGAATAGTGATGACTGCTACTTCATTTGGATGGCATTACCATAAATTTGATTTAATGAGGCTACATTTAGCTAGTTCCCTGTAGTTAGAGCAACACTTATAAAGCTAGGAGCTTACATTTAAGCAGCAGACCTTATTTTCAGAGATGCTCATTATCAAACAATTGAAAAGAGAATGTGCAAGAGAAGGCAGGCAGGGCCTCCTATGGTACTGTATATTTTGGAAGTGGTAGAGTGAGTAAATGATTGTGTGATGATTTCCTTATGTGCTTATTTTTGTACTATTTATTTTGGAAAGTTAGTGATTCAGCAGTGTCTCTATAGCAATAGAATATTTTTGCCTCCAATTGTAAAAAAAGGTCAAAATATTTTATTCAGCTTTGAAGGTTAAAAATATAAACAGATGAGAAAGATTACGAAATACTCAGCAACATCATCAAATACTTACAGTCTGCCATGTTCACACTAGTTGGGGTTGCGTATACATGCAAAGAAAAGAAAGTTAGTTACAAGACTTTATTCTGAGGTTTCTGGATTTCTCAGTATTTTTGGTGACTTAATGTGTCAGTTTTTCCTGCCTTAAAGTGTCTCTCCTTCCCATTAAAATCAATGATATATATTTTTAATAAAAGTGCTCATGCTAAAATGACATTAAAAAAGGCTCTGGGCGCCAGAGAAGACAGAAGTTTGCACTTATCCTTCTATAGCAATGAAGAATCCACATAGGAGGGATCCACTAGTTAAAAATGCATAGGAAACTTCTTTGATTAGTTTTGGTACTTCCAGAATGACTTAAATTGTCCTGGGAAATTATGTCATTTAAATAGTTAATAAAAATTTAAACTGTCTTTAAAACACATTTTGTCAACTAAGTTTTCTATAACTGACCTACTTCAGGCTTGAACTGAAAATTTCTTACAAACCCCAAGAGTTGTCTTCACTGGTTGGAGGATTATGCCCAACCCTGCACCCTCCCATGCAACCCAAATCCTACCGATGGAGAGATAGAGTTACACCTTTGGAGTGTTCTCAGGAATGTTTGCATTTTAATATGCATTTCCTTCTTTTTTCTTTCTATCTTACTACTATATATATTTTAGTAGTTCTGAATTACCTACTGAAAGTCTTTGGTGGATTGAAATTTAAATGTGCTTATATTTGTAATTTAAACATTTTGTCCAGTGAGTGATCAGTGGATTTTTTTCTCTGGCTTTTATTCATGATTTGTATGAACAGATTCTTTCATTGCATCTTCAACCATCTTTACTGTAAGTTCAGTATCTGAGAGTATGATATTAGGATAATAACCACTTAATAAAGTGTGATCACTGCTGATATCTATATGAGGTTTTCTCTAGAATTTTTATATAGTGGATTGAGGAGCATAGTATGGTTAGTCCATCTACGTGCTGCGACGTTTTACTAAAGCTGAAGCTTGCGTATTGTAGGCGAGTAGGTGCAAGCTAGAGGAATGAACATTAGAAGGAGGTAAAACTCCCTGTCTCTCAAAGCAAATACATAGTATTTCTGGCTAGGAAAGTAAGAAGATTTTCTTCCAGCATCTGGAAGAAATTCTTCCTCCCCCTACCAAGTATTGAGAGGAACCATTACAAGTGGCATTGGAAAGATAGAGGAGTAGAAGATGGCGTGAATTACATTTGTGATAACTAGGATGAGAAACACCTTTCCTTGACATTTTTCTCTCAAAAAAAATGGAATTTTCCACACAATTTGGGTGTGACTGTCTTCTCCACCAGACCGTGTAGCGTTAAGGAATGAAATTGTTATTGAAAATACAAAAAAGCATACTTTTGTTAATAAGCATCATACTGTGTTTATGAGGCTTCTTTGTAATTTGTAGCAGATTGCTTGCCCACTCCACTCAAATCTGTCTGGATTCATTGGATGAGAGTACATTTCTCTATCCTTTTTAAAATCTACAAACAACACAGTCATTTCTCGTATAGTAAAATACATGTTAAGCAGCAGAGTTTACTTTTGCCAGTTTGTAATGTGTTTTGATGGCTAACTGCACATGTGAAAACAGTAGAAGTTGGTGAGGCATTGAAATGGCATTTATGACATTTTCCCATCTGATCCTACTAACTCTGTGAATAGGCTAAGCAAGAGCCCGGGAGAAGAAGGTTCTTTGAGCACCGAAAGAAGTGGAAGATGGTGACTTGGAAATAGTCCTAAACTATTTTGCTGTAGTTGAACAATGACGGGGAATGTTCCCAGGCACCGGAACATAATATTCTATCCTGTTTAATTGTTAGCACAGTTACTGGCATGCTTTGGACTTACATCAAGTGGCTTTCTCCTGAACAATTCTTTGGCTATGTTTGAGCCTTACCACAAGACACTCTTCATAAATCTAGTGCTTGTGGCAATCCTGTTTTAAGACGTTTAGAAATTTAATAGTGTGGCTGCAGTATTTTCTGTGCCCGCTAGAATAAATCTTAGGCATATTTTGCTAATGGTTTTCTTTTGGCTATAATAATTCTTTTTACAATCCAGTTATAGTATGTCACACAATGGTATTAAAACTCTTCTAAGATAGTGTGTATAAAGTATGAATTATTATTACTATTAACCAGAAGTTAAAACATGTAGACCTATCTTTCAAAAATGAAAGTAAACCAGATAAACACAAAACTTCAGCTGAACACTTACGTCTGCTTCTGGCAATTCTCTGTGACAGAAAGAAGCTTCTTACATTTTGGTATTAGCCTAATATTTCAGTGAAAAATCCCCCAACATAACAATATAAACTATTGTCTTTTTTTGAGCTCAAGTCTTTTCTACACATTTACAGTTAACAGCAGGAAGAGATTCTACTTGCACTGCTTTTCAATGCACTTCATTGTGTGGTGTAAATGTGTCTGTAGATTTAGGGAGGTAATGCTTTTTCATGGAATTCTGTCTTTGTGAACTTGTACACAATACTAGAAAAACCTTCTTTCTCTATTAAAAGACTGTGGTAAGTAGATTTATAATAACCTTCAAGACACCTGTTATATTTAGTCTCAAGCTATTCAGTAGGTTCGTGGCAGCAGGAGTATGGGTCTGAGGAGCAAAAATTAGGAATAGAAATTTCATTTCATTCATTGATTTTCATTCCTACTTAGACTTTGAAGCAGACTTTTTTTTCTTGAAGTGGAAAAAAGAAATCCTGAAGTAACATGTTGTGAGGCTTGTTGTTTTATCTTTATTTCTTCCTTTTTTATCCAGATCTGAGCTATTCTCCCCTCCTTTTCAAAATTGAATGCACACATTAAAGTTTTTATTAAGTATTTTAGAACTCAGAATATTCAGATTGTCTTTAAGATCACTTTGTGGAGAGATCTCAGCTCTCCAGATGGTGATTGTTGGTTTGAGGAAACCTGATTTGTTGCAAATGTACAGGAAATTTTACTTAAAGTAAGTTTAGATGGGAAAGGAACAGAGTTTATATTGATGCTCAAATATCAGTATTCTCACAGATTAACTGAAATCTAACTTTTCATTCTAGAGATTTTATAAATAACCTTTTTGGAATGCAGAAGTATGTCTAGAGACATGCAAGACTCTGTACAGCCAAGTACTATATTCTACAGAAAGAAAAACTTCTGTATATTACATTATGTTGTCCACATACCTAAAATGTTTATTAGTTTGTACTTTTAAACACAGCATTCACATCATGTAGACATTTGCCTCCTTTGTTTTTGTTTCCAAGACTGTGGAAGTGCAGTAAATTATTTTATTGAGAGTACCTGCAGATTAAAATCCTGTCTTTTATCACTCTGCTTAGGTATGTGTTTTATATTCTGTATTTGGTATGTGGTCAATCTGGGAAGCAGTCCATTAATAAGCAAAGCATTTGTTTTACTCTGAATCCTGTAGACAGGTGGAAATTTCCTTTTGTTGGATGACAGGCATGCTCATTGAAAGAGAACTTACAAACTTGGGAAAATGCCAAATGAAAAAAGCATTCCAACTCTGGGAATCATGTTGATGAAATGTGAACTCTGAGGCCAAATGTTAGTTTATTCTGACAGATTTACAAATGAGAAAGTAATTTAAAATCTAGAAGGTGTTCTATTTTACATTAGCTTAGTGAAGTATGTTCAATAACTGTTCATGTTCACAGTGAAGAATTCACATAAAAATTTCATGAAGCTGAAGCTTACTCATCCATTTTAATACGAGATGTATTATAGCAGGATGGCTTCTGTGATTTATGACATGTGTCAGTTTGTCAGAAAAAAAGTATGCTTTTGTGTATGTCTTCTCTTCAGCTTCATTTTTTCATCCATGCTTACAGAACCCGAAGGATTGCAGCAAAGCTAAGAAACTTGTGTGTAATATCAACAAAGGCTGTGGCTATGGTTGTCAACTTCATCATGTAGTCTACTGCTTCATGATTGCTTATGGCACTCAGCGAACACTCATTTTAGAGTCTCAGAATTGGCGCTATGCTACTGGTGGCTGGGAGACTGTGTTTAGGCCTGTAAGCGAGACATGTACTGACCGATCAGGTACCACCACTGGACACTGGTCAGGTAAGATTTAAGAACTCAAATAATATCATCTTCTTTTTGCAGCTTCATTTACGTACAATTATTTTGATACCTCTTTCTTTAATGTTAAGTGGAGCATAATAACTATGACTCCAATTATATATATGTGTATATATATGTGTCTTCGAAATCTTATTTTTCCATTGTATTGAAAAAGAATTATTATCCTTATTAAGATATCTCTGCTTTGGCAGAGATTTTTTAGTACAAAACTTTTGTATTTCAGATTTAAATTGTAATCCTTCAGCCGACTGCTACTCTGTTATGTGCCAGATATGAATCCAATTTTTATGGGAAGAAAATATTAAATAGAGGCTGTCGTTGGTAAAAATTAAAAGAATCAAGCATGTTTCAAATATAAAGCAAGAGAAATATGAAGAAAATGATATCAAATAGTCATTCACACCCCAAAAAAATAATGAAAGGATTGAAGTAATTATTTAATACAAAATGAACTGACTCAAAATTCAGGTTGTGGAAACAGTGGCAATCTTAATATCTTTTTATTTGTAGATCAGTAAGTTAATTTTTATACTAGGCTGAAGAATTTTGCTAGAATGCTCAGAGGATCAGATAGCTTTCTTTGTCTCAGACAGCATTAATTTTAGTGGAATTCTTGCAGTCAGCATCTTGAAGAGTTATCATCTGCATGGTTTTATAGTTTCTTCTATATATTTAAAATATTTTCAAATGTCAAAATGCAATAGGTATACAACACAACTGGAGAGGGCTGGCAATATGCTAACTTTTTGCTCTCAGTTTATCTTAAATAATAGGAAGAATTTTATAAAGTTAAATTTCTATATAGATAATTTTTTAATGTGAACAATTCTCAACATTTTAAACAGATTTTATTGATTCTTTCCCTTTTGTTCCACATACTTATTTTTTCTGAGTCTGTAACTGCTGGGAATTTATAAATCTTACAATAAATCCTAGAAAGACACAGTTGATTAAAAGAAATACAAGACCAGGTAAATTTAGTGAGGTGTCTTCATTGACAAAAGAATGGGAAAAGTGTAATTAAAAAATATAAAGAGGTGGAATGTTAATTTTAATAATATTTTGTATCATTGACAATTATAGTCTACACAATAATTATTGGATAAGTAGGTAAGCTAACAATGGTTGAGAGCGGGCTATGCCATGAACAAAAACAATTTAGAGTGGGAAACAGCGAGGGAAATACTGTGCCACTTTTCAGGCTATAGCTGTTTTATTTATCAGCACTGATGCAAATTTTGATTGTTAGCATGTAGCACATTAATTTTATCCCAGAAATGAATTTTGGCTCAGTTACTGTCTGCTTAAGGACAGATAAGAAGGACTGGTAGTTTTTATTATTTATGTTAGTTGTCCCTACAGACTCAAGAACAGACTCAAGCATTTCTTTGCAGCGTGTCCTGAAGGATGCATTTGGCAGCAACAGCTGTGACTTGGATTTCATTGGGACATTTAGAAGATTTGTAGGGATTTGCAGTAGGTGATTGCCTAGACTACACTCATCAGTAAGAGACAGTGCACTGATGAGATGTTATTTAGTGTACAGATTTCTCATTAGAACTACAGGAGCTACAGCATGACTGTTGCAGACCACTACTATCCCAGTGCCATAGAGACAATATACAGTTTGTCAGTTTGGATGGTAAACAGAGCTATTCAATTCTGGGTTGACAGAAAACAGTTCCCCCTTCCAATTTTCATACTTTGTCTTCTGCTGGCTACCCCTGATTCACAGATTTTGGATGGTGTGTGAAGTTTGATGCATGGGAGAATGGCCAAATCTCCTAAGTCATCAGAGACTACCCTAAAGTCACAACAATATTCCCTTTCCTTTATTTCTGACAGGTACAGGGTTAACACTGTTTCAGGAGAGCTCTCAGCTAGTCACTGGGCTTGGAAATTAACATCAATGTTGAGGGGAAAAGGAAAATGTAGATGTTCATTCCTTCATCTGGTTTTCTATCTTTGGCCAGTCCCATACCTGCTTCTAGACAGGAAAAAATTGTCTGTTCTGACAAGTGTTTCAGGTTTCAGTTGTCATTCTGTAGTGATTGTGCCTCTCATAGTTTCTTAAATTATAGAATCATAGAATGGTTTGGGTTGGAAAGAACCTTAAGATCATCTAGTTCCAGCCACCTGCCATAGGCAGGGACTCCTCCCACTAGACCAGGTTGCTCAGGGCCCTGTCCAGCCTGGCCTTGAATACTGCCAAAATTATTTAAGTTTCAAATAGGCAGAACTGATACCATTCAAGGATTTCTAGTTCCATATAGTGGAATTTTCTGTATCTTCAACAACTGTACTACTTGGAATGATTGCTTTATAGTTATTTCACTTCCTACAGAAAATTCTTGGGAGTTGTGTTGTATGCCAGGGTTTGTTGTTTTTTTTTTTTTTTGTTGGGATTTTTTGACAGCAGTGTGTTTGTTTTATTTGTGTTCTTTCTTTCTCCAGAGAATCACTAGCATTTCTTATTCGTGTTGGATTCAATAGTATTTGAAGATCTTTGTTATCTGGCTCATTAGTAGTTTAGTGGGGAATTGTCCTGGAGGATATGTAGAGGAGGGAGAATTACTTAAGTAATGGACAGTTCTCCTCAGGGCCTGTTTGAGTCCATTCATAACAAGAATTAAATTTTGCAGAAATTTCCTTGCTCTAACACATTGTATATGCACGTCAACCAGGTCTCATAGTTTCCACTGTTGTCTCTTTGGAAAACGTTTAACAAATGTTTTTCTGCTTCACAATATACCTTCAATTAGCTTTTGTAGCTTCTTAGAAGGTTCAGATACAATAATCTCGCTGAATTTAGAGGAAGGCAGGGCAGGGTAAAATGTTATAGGGAACTGTAGTTTATAAAATGGAGAATCAGTGCTTGCCTTTCCAAAGCAAGCACACACCTATACTTCAGTAAGCTAGTCTTTTGTCTTCTATGGATGTAAAGAACATTTCCAAGTCCTTGGTGATGCTGGTGTTTCCAACTTGGTCTTTTGGTGTTTTAAGTACAACACCAAACACATTGCTGATTAAAAGCAAAACCTTTTCATGATGAATATAGCCAAACAAGTTCCCTAGAGTGTGTGTGCGGTCTCCATCTTTGGAGGCTTTCAAGATGTGTCTGGCTGAAGCCCTGAGCAACCTGTTCTGATCTCATGGCTGACCCTACTTTAAGCAGAAGTTTAAAGTAGATGTCCTCCTGACCTGTAAACTGTGTGATCTGGACAAACTCAGTAAATGAGTTCAACTGTGGAAAGCGTTGATTATGACTAATAATAACCTGGTCTTATCCTAATGAGTTGGCCCTGTCCAGAACTAGGTGCTTTTGAAGAAGGTGAAAGTACAAAAGCAGCAGGCAAATGATGGGTAAGTAGTGTCAAAGAGAAATTCCTACAAAGGGACAGTTCCTCCTATTTTCTTTACACATATGAATCCTTATACATGAATCTTGTGTCTTTCTCTGTGATTGATAGAACATATCAGAATCTTAAGTATTTTCTCTAGGATGCTGCATATGCAGTGTGTATGGTGTCTTAAAGAATTTAACTGTTAAAGTCTTGGAGAACTAAAATTAATTTTTTCAGATTTACAAAATCCAATTTACAGATTAGTGTGAAAACATCCTTTTGTGCTTACGCATTGAAACAATGTTTGTACATTGAGATAACATCAGTTCTTCAGAGTTTGAAGATGCTACAAAGCTTTTGTTTGAAAATTCTTGCAGGTTTGTTGAATAAGAATTTAAAAAAACCCCATTTTTTAAAATGGTTGAATGTTTTCTAAAAGCAAGTGGAAATGGAAAACAGGCATTGAAAACTTCAGCTGAAGTTTTATTCATGTTTGGCAAAGTTAGCAGCTGAAACGGCCATCTGGGCATGGTTCTGGACTGACTTGTCTATGTGACCACAGAATTTAGTTGCAGGCAGTTTTGTGAGTCTTGCATTTAGCATTATAAGCTGTTAAAACAGTGCTCTGGAGCAGTTCTGCACACATGGCTTAACAAGACTGTATTTCCCTGCAAATCTGTTAAAATAGATCATGATTTCCTGCAATATGGGCTGTAGCTGATGAAAGTACAAATAATGTTTCCTTCTGGCTCCCTCCAGTTGTGGGGTTTTGGAGGGGTTGGTTTTTTTTTTTTCTTATTAATTTCTAATTCAGGAATTAGACGGAATGCATGAAAAATCTTGATGTGATCAAATTTTTGACTTAATGAATACCACTCATTTGAGTTTTGATGTTCTAGAGATAAAAGATACTCAGCTACAAAATCCAGTCTTTCTCTGGTTAGCCTACTGGGTAACCACAGACTATAAACTGTGTTGAATTCCAGTCTTCTGCAATGGCATGATCACGAAGGAAGAATGGTATTAACATTGATCTCTGTTACTAGGTTAAATGTGGCTTCAGTAGGAATCTTCACTGGATACTTAATTGCCAGTAAATTTGAAAGACATTCTATCTTGCTGAAGATTTCTATATGGCTTTTTGTGTCTTTCAAAATTTCTATAGACTTTCTTATTCCCTATACCTTTACAGGGACAAATAAGTCTGAAATTCTTAACTGTAACTATAAACAAACTATAAAAGTTTGCCTGCAAAACCACACCTTTACTTTTTTTATTTCTTCTCTACAGGTTCTGAAATTGGTATTTCCTTGATTTTCAAAATGAACCAAATTGCATTGACATTCATAAATTTCCATTTCTCATAAACAAAGTCTTTCTCATTACATAGTTTACTTACTGCACTGCGTATATGGGGTTTTAATAGAAGTTGGTTTTAATTATGTATCAAAAATATTCATATGAGTGAATACTGATAACAAGAGATCAATGTAAATTACAGAAATAGGCCAGAAAGTCAGAAAATTATGCAATTAAAAAATTACTTAATTTATAGGCCTGAGGAGATGCTGATTTAGTAAACTGTGCTACATGAAAAAGTTGTTTAAATCTGTACATTTACCTTCTTGTTAATTA